TTCATGCATCGTTTTTCCAAATGACAATGAGAAATGTCCGACAAATGTAATAGTCGATGAAAATACTTTGAATATTATTATCGTTCGAAATAAAACACAACGTACTGTTGAATCCTTTATTACACAGAGAGAATAAAATTGCATTTGATATTTATGCTTTATCGATTTTCGGAAGTTTATTCCGCATAGAAAAATACCTCTGTTATTTCATAGTTGTATGAAATATTGTAGTCATTTTTGATGATCTTCAGTGAGTATAATGGCGATAAAATGTATAAAAGCAATGTCTCTTTTGAAAAGTTGATGTTGGACAGTTTTGATGTGAAATTATGCTTGGAAAACCTTTTGATTAAAGTCTCATATACAATGCTTTTTCTTTCACGTGTAAGTGCATTTTTAAACGGATATAATAAATTTTTACTGTGCGAGTTCACGCACATTTGACTTTTGTCGCTCGGGATGGTTGGGATCATTAAATTTTTTCGAATTTCACTTCGGGCGACCTAGTAGCATACTTTTTCATAAATGAGTATATAAGTACGCATTTTAGCTATTGTCATTGCATAAAGGTGGATGTAAAAGTATTTATTTATTGTAATTTATTTTTGTTTGCGAATACACTCCATAATAAAAAAGAAGCGAACAGATCGAAAAAAATTGTCAGCGCATATGAATCTGAAATAAGCATGTTTATCGAAGTTGATTTAGAATCGCATAAAAAAAATCCAATAGTATTTTCTAAGCTTACATCAGAGAAAGAGATTCACGTCCGACAGCAGCGGCACGCTCAACACAAAAGTTTTCCGGGTGTATTCATTAAATTTTCGTCGGAAGGGCGGCAGAAAATCCTTCCTTCTTTTTGCGTGCAGCGAATAAAATATTGGTGAGAAGAAGGAGCTAGAGGCGAAGCCCCACTCGAATTCGGAATTCTCTGATATACACAAGAAACATGAAAAATCCGTTTATACCGATCGACAGAAGTCTCAAAGCTCGCTCGTCGTATACCTATGTACATATATATATATATAATATATATATATATATATATATATTATATATATATATATATAATATATATCTCATTCAAAAGACTGACAGACATTCTATTTATTCGCGCTTGGACAAAAGAGAAGAATCGGACCAAGTGAGATTTGTTTTTCTTTTATTCTGGGGCATTCCTTATCGCATGCAAAGCGCGATTTGCCCGTAAGCCAATAGCGATCCGATAAGAGTTCCACGACGAAATCCGTCCTTTTAAGTGGATTTTCGATCGCCTCCGCCAACCCCCTCCCCGTGCCCCATCTCCCTCCGCGCATGAATTATTAAAATAGCTGAGACGTTAAGCGATCACGGATTTCTCTATATATCTCGCAAGAGAGAGCGAGTCGTAAAACGAGTTTTTCATAAAAATGAGAATACTTTAACCCGGTATAAATCCAGACAATTTTTCCGTCTTTTTCAACCCTCCATTCTCATTCTTTTCCCTCTCTCGCGTGGCAACTTCGTTAAACTCGCGTCCTCTCGATGACTATTATGTTTTACGATGATGAGATGAAGCGATATTAAAGCGTAGTTTCTTAGTTTACCAAGATATTGCATTTATATGATAAATTTTATGATGTGGGTCACCTTCCTTGAGCACCCCGCATGTGAAATTGTAAGCAGACCAACTTTTTATAATTGAATTGCCTAATTCTCCCATACTACTTCGTAATTTATTAAAACACTGTCTACAAAAGCACGCATCACTTTGATAGATAACGTGTAATGAAAAAAATGGTAATTTTGATTTTTCTCTTGTTCAGGGAGTGATGATATTTTCCACGAATTTTGTATGCATAATTACGAGAAATGTTTACCTTATGATAAAAAAGAAAAGATGTCTTTAGGCGTTATGCGCGTAACAACGGCCGAGTTCATGTCAGACTTTATATATATACTTTATTATATACGGGGTAACGAGGAATATATTACCTTCACGCGCGTAGCTTTTCTAAGCAAATTTTTGCAAAGCTTCAATCGAGCATTAATTCTTACCAATCCATTAACCAAATGCTCAGAAGTTACTGGTGAGTTGAATAAACAAAGCTTGATAGTGAGAGAAAAGGCTGAAAATTTCTCTTTCTTTTAAGCGTGTATCTGCAAAGTGCAGTAAACCCTTGGCCGCAAGTTAATTGGCTCGAAATGACTTGAAAGTCGTGTATTTCTTTGCCTTGTGTTTTCATTCGTTTTTACAGCATTTGCCTGCTGTGGTGGTGGCGGTGTAACGATCTCGCATGCGGAGCGTATTAGCAGCTCGGTCTCGAAGGCCCATGGGCAACCTGCCTACATTAATTAAGCCTCGAGCGCTCTTATTTTAACCTACTTTTCGATATAACCTCCGCGTATGTTCGTTCGCCTTCGCGCTTCACAGATTTCGCGTTAACCACCCCTGCAATTGTGTTTCATTCAGTTCTTTTTTCTGTGCCTCTAACGAGATGTTTTCTCCTCCTCTCCCCTCCTCCCTCTCAAAAAAACAAATTGAAGCTCGTGCCGCGCGATTGCTTTTTTTGCATGTGCGACGCAGTGCGTATTAAAAATATATCGATCGCACATCCGCAAGCGTTTCGTGAGAGAGAGAGAGAGAGAGAGAGAGAGAGAGAGAGAGAGTGAATGAGAGAGTGAGTGAGTGTGTGTATGAGAGGGAGAGAAATGGTAAAATGTTATTTTCGTTTGATAAAAATTGGCTACCTTCTGGAATTTTTTATGAGTGCACTTTCGTTGCTATTGTTTTTGCGTTGTGCGCGCGGGAATTCGCTTTCACGTATTTATAATTTGTCACAGAGCTTTCCGTGCATTCACGTGCTTTGAAATGTCAGTTGGGTCGAGCACGCTGTCAAAACCAAATTTAATTAACGAGTGGCCGTTTCCCAAAGAAAATTGCATGAAAAATAGTAACCGTTGCGCAAATAAATGAGATGCACGTCACCGCGCGAGTAAAGATAAAAGAACAACGTGTATTATCAGACTAAAGCAATAGTCAAGGAACGACATTTCCATAATTTCGAAATACGTATATCTATCATTCACTAAGGATATTAGAGTAGAGGTAGAAGAGCGAGAGAGTCGAGAATAAATTAGTCGCATTAGGAGTGTGCCCTACGTTCACAATGATTACATTTTGCTTGCAATTAGAGAAGCGCGCGCGCACTGTACGTTTCTCCGGTAATTGAAAATCCAATCGGCTTAGAATATATGAAAATTACTGTAATACATTGGACATTTCCAACTTTTCAATTATCACTTTTAACCGTCGCCAAAGTTATTCCGATGATAATAATAGAGCTTCGAATGATTTTAAAAAATCCATGCGCCGTGCCATTATTTACTGAAAATGTCGAGTGAGAGAGAGAGAGAGAGAGAGAGAGAGAGAAAGTGAGAGCGGAATGTTTACTGACGAGTTAGCATTGAATTACCACTCGAACGAATGATTATTCGATTGAACGTCGAATCTTTTCATTGCAATCACGCGCTCCTTTGTTTCCCTAGCTGCTCTGGCAGATCGACTGAAAGGCCAGAGATTAATTCAAAGAACTGGCGCAAGAGAGAGAACGGATTGGCGAACTTTCAAAATTAAAGCTCGAGCTATAATTCATTATTCTTATCTCGGTCTATAGTCGGCAGAAAAAACAGAAGGGTAAGAGAGAGAGAGAGAGAGAGAGAGAGAGAGAAAGGGAATCCCTCGTCGTCTATTCTTCGTTTCTTCTTTCTTAACGAGACTTTTGTACGCGCCTGCTCCGAGCACGAAATAAAGAAGGAAACCAGCACGAACGATTGTTCTTTATTTTTCCCTCGTCGTATTTCGAAGAAAAAACACAACGACATGATGAGAATCAAAGCGAACGTGACGAAGCTTGCGCGGGGCTTGCAAAAAAGCTTCCGCGCTTCCCTTCAACGATAAGGTCGGCCATAGAGCTACCGAGATTATTGCCTATACGTATATACACCGCAACGCCCACAGCACAAATCGCCCATTGTTCATGGAGTGCATGCAAGCTCTCTCTCTCTCCCTCTGCAAGCTCGCACATGTGTATGTTCGACGTCAGTCCTACACTTGACTCATCTTTGCATAATGCCAGCCGAGAGAGCTTTACTAATTCTGAACTTTTTAATGAGGTCGAAATTTGACTAAACAAGTTTTGTCGCGATAGTTGCGCCAGTTGCTTTTTTTTCTTATCGCGTATCAAGACACGGTATGTGAATAGATCGTTGATGAGTAGGACAGCGCGATGGAAATTACACGAGTAACGGAGTAATTTGGCTGCCACCTCTTGCAAATTTTCTGCGCAATAACGGCTGTAGACTATACATAACGACGTGCTGCTTAAATAACACTAACGAACTGTTGTCGGGCCACATCGCTTGTATTGGCATACCGAGAATTATGCTGTCAGCATACTAAATATCCTTGCGGTTTCGATGCGCTTCCTTCGTGCTGCCGGCTAATATTCCCATTATGCTACACAATATTGGTTGAATTTTCCAACTTAAAATCTTTCATTTAGTTTTTTCCCTTCTTTTTTCGAGCGAACGCAATGTTTGTTTTATGCATGATGCTTTTTTACGCGAGGTACCTTTACGTGCGCCCGAGTCTTCTTTTATTGAATTCAATTCGATCACGTTCTCCATAAAGTCGTAAAGTGTAGCCCCATGTAAAACAATAGCCCCGAGCAGTTTGATCTTATTTACGGTTCCGAGAAAAAGAAAATACCTTATTGACCGCAGAATGGTTTTACCGTTTTTTGCAACGAGAACAAAATAAACGTGATCGAATTTTAACTTTATAACAGTATCTTTCTCTCTCGCAGTATGCATCTGTCAATAGCACTTAAATCAAAGTAGTCGAGACAACAAACTATAGTTCGTTTTGGTATTAAGTCAGCTAGAAGTAACATTAAGTAAGGGATATTGACTCTGACAAGCAGTGTTGGGAGGGGATGGGGATTGTTGAAGTTTATAAGTTAAAACTAAATGCGCCTGCTTTGGTGGGCCGGGGTGTTTTCTTTTGCGATGTCTGTTGCAGAGGCGCAAGGAGCGCGGCCGGATCGCCGTGGAGAGCGTTCACGTGGTGGAGCAAGCGACGCTGGGGAGTGGCGGCCTCGAGGTGGCCGGCAGCGACTCCAGCGGGGGCAATGGCGGGGGCGGTGGCGGTGTACCCCCCGGACTACCCTTCCAAGTTGGTTATCGAGAAGCTGGCCAGGAATACACGCTCTATCTTGTCGCCGCTAGAGAGCAGGATCGTGCCGACTGGATTCGTGCTATACGCGCTGGTGAGCCCAGATTTCTTTTTCGTCTACTACAATTGGTCGTGACATGATCATTTTATAAGCCTTATAATGGCTCATTATGAAAGTTCAATATCACAGCTCTTTCATTGATGTGGATCTTCGCTCAGCCTTAACAATGCATTTGAAAATATATATCATTTTAATATTCGTTTTATTCCGTAAAATAGATTTCTAATATCTAAACGTGTTCAAAGCAGTACGCTAAAATTAAAAGTCGAATTGTAAAATGAAAAGAAAAATATCATTCGATAATATTACGTGTTTTCAAGTACTACGAGTTCGTACAAAGAATTCAGGCCAAGCTTAAGCTTATATAAAGTTGCTGGATGGTATTTTGTAGTTCGAGGTAGTGTCCCCACTGTAGTAGTTTTTTACTGGCTAGATGTGTCTTCAAAGTCTTAGCGTAACTGTTACTTGCAGAGATAGAGAGAACCTGCAGCCGTTATGAATTGCTACGATGAAAGTGCGAACGCGTGCATGCAGCTCGCAAAGTTTTAGGTGTTAAACCGAGTTTGACGCAGGTTAAAACCGTCAAAGGCGCGCGCTACATGCCGCGCACTCAAGCTGGACATTTTTTTCTTGTGCACTAGCAACAACACTCCTCGACAGAATGTGTACGTGCAAATTTCTTTCCTCACTGTTATGAAAGTCTTGTTTTTGCAAACGCCAACAAAGCTTCCTGAGATGAATTTCAAACTCATATAATTACACAGGTCGACAAAATTTCAAACTGGAAAAAATCCAAAAACGCGATAGTATATTTACGTAAATTTTCGAAGCGCTGAATCGAAATCTGGCTTCATAATTGACTCATTGGTTAAGGTTCTAAAGAAATTCTAACCTAAAAGTACATAAATCATGATTATTTGCTGGGTTCAAGGTTATGTAACACTACGAATAAATTTTTTTTCAAAAACCAGTAAAACCATCACTAAGCAACATTCTTTCCCTTTAAATTCCATTTTTTGATTAGAGATATATTTTTTTTCATCGTATTATTGATACTTTAACGATTTCGCAACAACATAAAAATAGTCCAATTGTCAAATACGTGTATCTAGCATACTCCAGATCCTTGAACCCTACTTGCTTTAACCCAACCCTCGACCCCTCTAACTTGTGACCATATAATTCCAGACCCTTGAATCCCAAAAGCCTTAACCCCTAACCCTTGTAACCTGTGAATTTAATGCTGTTGCAAAAATGCTAAAATACTTAACATTAATCAATAACATCTTGATGAAAAAAAAGACATCTTTGATCTAAAAAATAGGCAAGAATGCCGTTTAGTGATGGTTTTACTGATTTTTGGAAAAAGTTTATTCACAGTATTACATAACCTCGAACACAGCAAATAGTCATCATGTTTGTATTTTTAGATTAGGATATCTCGAGAACCTTAGGCGATGGATCAATTCTGAAGCAAGATACAGATTCAACATATCGAATACCTTCGGAAATATACTATCGCGTTTCTGGATTTTTTTTGGATGTCGTCTTGTGTTATCATGTGCTATACGCATGTTATTAAAATGTTTAAAAAATGCTCCTTTGAAATTAGTTAACTAACATTGTATGAAAAAAATTCGCCACATAAAAATTTAAAAGCGAACCGGCATTAACGAATATTATATATAGGTCAATCCACGTCAAACGAATAATGGCTCTGTCCAAATTTCTAGATCACCAAAATAATCCTTGATGGCCTCACAATTTTCGCTTTATACTCTACTTCTGCGATCAAGGTAATTTGAAGGTTAAATCATGAATATTTTTTATTTTTTGATAAGAATAGGATACTCATAAGTTTTACATGTCGTTGAATCTGAATCCGACCTGACCTTGATCGAGACCTGGTGGGGTTAAACGGACATTATATTTGAATTCAGTATCTCGAAATACCTATGACTATCCTCATTTACTCACCAATTAACATTGATTAATTAGTAATTCAAGAAATAACTATTGTTTCCTGATTTGACCTCCAGATGACTTTATAAAATAAATTTTACCTTGAGTGCAATACTATATTTCTATGTACAATTGGACGCTGAATTCATTTTTAACATAAAAAATACGTAAAATTATAATTGAATGATTTACAATCAATTTTTGAAAATTTGAAGATTTTATCAAATCTCTAGGTTTGAGTCACCATATTGGAGCTGTCATTTTGGATTTTTCAAAGTCGTCACATTGTAGAAGAAAGTAGAGTATAAGGTGAAAATATTGAGCCGATCCACGATTTTTTTAGTAATCTACAATTTTGGACAGAACCATTATTCATTTGACATGGATTGACCTATATATATTCAGGTTCCATCTAATAATAAGATCAAGTATTGTATAATACTGAAGGCCGAAACGAAATCGTGATGAGATATCAATTTAGAATGGTTGAATTTCGAGGATTAGATTTATCGATAACGCATTATACAAACTGGTATGTGTTGCAGTGTTGAATTTGTTTTTCACTAACCTTCGTTAAGGAGAATTGATATAGCTTTCATCAATAAAAAACACTTTTTTGTGAATTCTTTTTAGTGATATGGGTAACGAAAATTTATTAAAACCTTTCGTATATTATAAAGTATCGCTTTAATAATATTCTGTAATTTTTTCAATGGAAAATATCGAGAAATAAGCTGGTGACGGAGCTTTTTCGAGAATGCCTATTGACAAAGATGATTAGCGATATCTCAGTCGAAAATTATATGAAATCAAAATAACGAAAGATTTTCATTAAAGTATCACTAAAGCTGGCTCCCGGCGCAACGTTTAAAAACTATGAAAAAGTGACAAAAAAAATTTTTTTTAACTTACATCGAGTCATCGATGTCAAGAATACAATCCCTGCAGCAATTTGGTTATCTTCGGCTTTTTTTTTATTGAAATCGTTTTTTTAGAAATGCAAATTTATAATAATAATTTATAATTTATAATTTATAATCAGTAACTATTCCCTCCTCCTTTAATATTATAACAATTATTTGCTAATGGTATTTTTATTTAGTTTGAATTTCATTAGAAAGACACTGCAATTGAAATAAAATTCTCATTTCTGCGAGGAAAAACTCGAGTTTTCATTTTACGAGGGTGGTCCGATAAGTACTTAGCCTCGCCGCCTGATGGCGCCACTCTCGCAAAAGAAATATTCTATCACGTAGTACAACCTTCTCGATGGTTACTGTCAAGATTTCAGCCGGATCAGAGTTGTAGTTAATTTTTAAGAGCGTGTGAAAGCAAGTGTGTGCGTTGATTTTTGAAAAATGGAAAAAGGTCGGTGATTCGATTCTTGTTTTTGGAAGGGAAATCGCTCAGCGAAATCAAAAAGCGCTTGGATGCTGTGTACGGTGACTCTTCTCCTTCGATGGCGACCGTCAAAAATTGGTTTAACGAGTTTCAACGTGGTCGCGCGTCAATTTTTGAAGAGCCACGTCCAGGTGCTCCGAAAACGGCTACCACGGAGGATAACGTGACAAAAATTCACGATCTCGTATTGGCAGATCGACGATTGAAGGTGCGCGAGATAGCTAAGATCGTAGGCATTTGAAAAGACCGCGTGGGTCATGTCCTGCATGAAATTTTGGTTATGAGAAAGCTGTCGGCGCGATGGGTGCCGCGTTTGCTCACTCCGGACAACAAACGCAACCGTGAGACATCTTTAGAACAATGTCTGACGCTGTTTAAGCGCAATCCGAAGGAGTTTCTGCGTCGTTTCGTGACAGTCGATGAAACATGGATCCACTGGTATACACCAGAGACCAAGGAACAGTCGAAACAGTAGACTTTACCCGGCGAAAGTGCTCCGAAGAAGGCGAAGACTGCCCCATCGGCCGGAAGGGTGATGGCCACCGTTTTCTGGGATTCACAAGGTGTGATCTACATCGACTACCTGGAGAGGGGCAAAACGGTCACAGAGCTGTACTATGCCGAATTATTGGGCCGATTCGACGTCGAATTGCAGAAAAAACGGCCCCATTTGGCGAAGAAAAAAGTGCTCTTCCACCATGACAACGCACCGGCTCACACCTCCGCCGTCGCCATGGCCAAATTGGTCAAATTAGGCTACGAACTGCTGCCCCATCCACCGTATTCTCCAGATTTAGCCCTGTGCGACTTCTTTTTGTTTCCAAACTTGAAAAAGTCACTCGCCGGGCAGAAATTTGAGTCGAATGAGGAGGTAATCGCCGCCACGGAAGCCTACTTTTCAGACCTCGAGGAAACGTATTTTTCAGACGGGTTAAAGAAGTTGGAGCATCGCTGGGTCAAGTGTATCGAACTAAAAGGAGACTATGTTGAAAAATAAAACGCCACTTTTCCAAAATTTTCGTTTTTCTTTTGTAGGCTAAGTACTTATCGGACCACCCTCGTATAAAGTTATTCGCGGAAAACTTTACATGCGGGCAGATGTAGTTGTACCTTTTATCTTTAAACTTTCCTTATTGCTACTCAAAACGAAACTTTTTTTACCGTGCTTTTTTTCTCAACTAGAAATTGTGTATCTATAAACTTGAGCTGAATTCAAGAGCATTGTTTTTGCGCTCTAGGACGCCTGCCCGCATAATTGCTATTTACACAACCGTAAAGTATTCAGCGTCGGATGTAATTATCTCGTTTAGAAAATACGTTAAAATATTATACAAACCGCGCAAACATGAATTTTGCGAAGATAAATTAATTTATTCGTAAATTAAACTGTTTGAAAATAGACTTTTGTTAATTCTTATTGGAAATATCGCAGTACTTATTTTTTTATTGATATTTATGGCATGAATAACGTTATTTGTTTCCAGCTAGCATGAAAATTCTGTGCAAGTATTTATTGGGATAGTTCGTCAAAATAATTAAATTATTAACTAACGGCTGTTAAAGAAAACAATATCATTCCAATTGGCCTATTTTTTCAAGAAAAATTAGAATGAGTCTTATGAACTGGATTTCAGAATTCAATCAATTTTGCAATCCAACCGATAAAAGCGTGGCTCGTTCTAAGGCAGGTAAAAAAATAGGGAGAGCTTAGGAATGTAATAATTAGGGTAAGTGAATGCAGATGCAAGGTCAGCGATATTGCAGCCGCAGCACTAATGGGAACAGCCCATCGATTTTGGCCATCTGATCGGGAAATGTGATTAAGATCGGCCGGCTTTGGATCTTGAAGGATTCCCGGGGGTCGTTGTCGACACTCGATTGTGCGACGCGAGCACGAAGGGGGGGGGGGCGGCAATCGATGGAGCGCACTCTTAAAAGTCGATATTTTATGCCATCAGCTATTATTGACGCGAAACTTAATTCTCCTTTTCCAATTACGAATTCGACTTTTCTTCGCGTTTTTTCGTGATTATATCGTCGCTCTGATTATTCATCCCCATCGTCTCATTGATTTCACTTTAATTAAGTTGCTGATAGAGTACTGTGGGCTCTGCCTCGATTGACAGCAGCTCCATTAATTAGCCGAGTATGTTCATGCTCGATTCAGACTGATGGGGTGCTAATCGGTGAGCGAGTAGTAGTAATACGCAGCTCCATCTCTCTACTGCCTCGAAGTTACAAAGAAAAAAAAATGTTCATCATTGGCGTTGGCATGTTCGGAAAAGCGAAAGAGAGAGAGAGAGAGAGAGAGAGAGAGAGAGAGAGGGAGAGGGAGGGAAGAATTTTGATGAGAAAGAGAGGGATTGAAGCGAAGTTCCTTTGGTGAATAATGATGCATAATTCATCCTGGCGCAAGCTGCAAGTGAAGACCGCAAAAGCTTCCGTGGAAAGAGAGCGAGCGAGAGATACTCCAATCTTGAATTCAGAGCTAGGCGGACAGAGACGACGACGACGACTCGGAAAAAAGCAATAGAAACCACGAATACACGAGATGACGGAGCAAAAAAAGAAGCGAGAGAAAGAACCGCGCAGCTTTCTAGCGGTCGACCGCGAAAAAAATGAAACGCGTTGAGAGCCGTTAAACCGAGCCCACTCTCTCTTTCTCTTTCTCTCTCGCTCACGCGCGAAAGAGGGAGAGAGACAAGGGTGAAGAGAAGAAGAAAGAACCAGCCAAGCTAGTCCCTGAAGAACTGACAATCGAGAAGAGTATAAGCCCCCTCAAGTTGCGTGAGATTGGGACTCGACTCGACTGTCTGAATGCGCGTGTATACGAGGCAGTTAAGCAAGCTCCAATACTTATTTGAGCTTTTTGATTATGTGTGAGCGCGAAATAAGCTATGTATCGATGCCGTGCGCATTTTTCACCTTTTGCAGCGCCCGGAGAAATACGAGAACCCATACCTCTTTCCGCGCACAGCAGCGACGCCTAGTATCGCATAAAGTGGCGCACTTGACGGAGTAATGAAACGCATTCTTTTTCTCCAGAGACGCGAAGAAAGTCGCGCGAGGCTTCCGCGTGCCCACTGAGACTGACATTTATAGAACCTGTATATTGCATCCTTGAAATAAAACTGTAACTGCTCAAAAAGTTCTTTCGCGTTTTGTGCTTGCAAAAATATAAAATAATAATAATAATAATAAAACTAAAAAGAACAAGCTCGCTCGGCGAAAGTTATCGCGCAAAAGGGGCGCTCTCTGCTGTGTATGCATGTCTCTTGACTTTGCTACGCGAGCTTTGAAAAATCTGCACAAGTTATATAGAGCTGCGTTTTTCAAGTTCAATTGATACTTTATTCATTACGCTTGTTTAATAGCACTTTATTAGAGCTTTTCGAATAAAAATCAATTTAATTGAAGTAGTCATTGATAAGGAATGATACTCAAATGCGAGACATTTTGATTATAACGCAATGAAAAGTAAATGCGCTTTATTTTGAAAGATGTTGGATACAACTGAGAGCGTTTGTAGCTGATTCTCGGCTGATTTTCACAGAGACAGCAGTCCCGTGAGCTGGACTCCCACATTTCAAGAAAATACAGGAGGTTGAGCAGCCGAAAACAAAAGTTAACTGGCATCGCGCTAACGGAGACGATAGCGAAAATGTAAGATTACGCGTTAGACCAAAAGTCGTAAAAGACCATGTGGTTCGCTCGACCGCAATCCTAAGAGCGAGAGCTGAAGGAGACAAGAGCTTCAAGCGGATCTTAAAAACTCGTGGAAATACTCACAATCGAGAGTTGCCATTTGTTACGGTTCATATTCTAAGTCATGGTCCAAACATTAAATTAATGATGCACATAAGGCGTTTGAGATAACTAGAGTGAAACACATCGTGAGAGAAAATATACAAAAATAATCAAGAGATATAAATCTAAAATGGCGTACCGATGAAAACAGCTATAAAATACAGTTTTTTAATAATGTGCAACGTTAAAAATACACATCGTTTACTTTCATGACTGAAGATAGTAATTCGAGACTAATAGATTAATTATTTTAGCAGATAATGACCATTGTCATACATAAACCGATCAATAGATAGATATAATTATAGCTATTGAATATATGTGTATGTATTAATTTTAGTTGCTGAAAATTTTGAATCAAGACATTCGTAATAACAATGAAAAAACTTCTATTTTTCGTATAAAAAATAAAAGACTGCGTTGATCAACAGTCTAATTTCAGCAATCAAATTAAACTTCGACGCTTGACATAGATGATTCGCTAGCTGGAAGAGTAAGTAGAGGGGCGAATCATTATAATTATTTCGGCGGAGCGACTCCAAAGTTACGAGAGAGATAGAGGGGAAGGCAAAATTCGCGCAACTGCCGATGCAAATAAAGAAGGGTGAAATGGAGCAGGCTAAAGTTGGCGAGCTACCGAGAGAGTCGACATTCGCACGCTCATTACGGCAGTTTCGTCGAGTGTTGCTTTCACGACAAAACATTCCGCGCTCGGCGCTGTTCGTCGGGGCTGCTGCGATTTACTGCGTATAATACACGCTGGGCCGCCTCCTCGACTCTCACAGGAAGAGAAAGAGAGAGAGAGCTTGTGGCTCTCGTTAACCTTCCGCGCGTGTCAACCTGATGTATCTCGCTAGCTGGCACTGGAATTTAACTCTCTACTTTCAATAAAAATAAAGCAATTGGGCTTTTACTGCCGCCACTACCAGTTAGACGTCGAGTTATTACGTCGGCACTGTATATTTCTCAATTTATCTTCCTCGTGTTTTCAATAAAAATGTTTTTCTTTGCAGCATACAGCGTGTATATTATGAATTCTCCGCCAAAGAGCGCTCGCGTCCTGCTATAATAATTGCGATGTCAACAATGAATACTAAGCGGACTCGCTTTTTAATTATTACAGTTACCGTTTGTGTACCAAATAACTTGAATTTGGTTAATCTTGAGTGTACACATTGAGTGTACACATTAACAAATTAAACTTAATTCAATGAGTATTAAAACTTGCGTAACTGCAATAGATTGGAATGTAATCGCTTTAATTATTACTGAATTAACGATTCCAAATTGCATCACATTGACGGAGTCATACCAGGTAATAATTCAAGTGTTATTCATTGGTTTGATACAGAGAAGACGATTCGCAGATTTGAAACCAATTGATAACCATCAACCAATAAGAGCCTGGTAGAACCAATCATTTACGGTAAGGACTTGGCGCCGCTACAGCAGGGGCAATAAGAAATGTGCTATAAATCCATTATATTCCAAGCTGCGACGATCAATCACTCGCTCTCGAGAGAAAAATCAAATTACTACGCACAGAACTCTATTGTCCCGCGCAGTTCTTTCTCAGTTGTCAACCTCAGAAGGCAGCGTGCGTGGTGAAAAATCTGGCGTATATATCAAACGAAAAATACGTCCGGGTAAAGTTACTGGTACACTGCACACCGTGCCCAAAGTTGACTCGATCGAATTAAGGAACTTTGCCGAAAGCCAACATTTGCCGTGGCGCTGGTAAAGAGGGAGGGTGATATCGAGACCCTATGCTCTATATATATATATATATATATATATATATATATATATATATATATATACACATACATACACACACATACACACACACATACATATACGGAATTGAACGCGGAGAGACTTTAAGCAAATGGCGCTCTCAGCGCGCAATTCAGGGGTGAACTCGATTAAAAATCAATGGCTTAGTCGACCAAGAGCAGCTCTTTAATCCTAGTCGGATCTATGTTTGGTCGGAGGATTATGGTCGGAGCTACAATCGCTAGATCCTATCCTCTGTACCTTCCGAGCTAACGTCGTAGGTGCGTAAATATCAGGGATCAGAGAGGGAGAAAGTGAGAGAGAGAGAGAGAGAGAGAGAGAGAGAGAGAGAGAGAGAGAGAGAGAGAGAGAGAGAGTGAGCGTGAGCGAGGAACACTTAAATCCCTTGTAAACCCCGCACGAGACGACTTCGTGCGAATAGTCCAAGTTTGCAATACGTGTATGTCTGGTTATATATCGGCAATAGAGTTATCGAAGAGACGTTAAAAAATATACGACTTTTTCAAAGTGTAAGTATCTTCGCCGTTAGCTACGTAGCGAGAGAGATCGTAACAAAATAAAAGTGACGTTTTATCTCTGGTGAGTACATTGTTTTCCCGTGCAGATGCGTGACCTGCGCGACTGGCTTTTTTTTCCTTTAATGCTGTCCGTTCAGTTCCGATACAACATTCATTAATCAATTTGTCCCTCTGACATGCGCGATGGCTCGTTAGTCATTTCGACACGCAATTCCCGTTCGATCGCGAACCCCAAATTTTACGCTCGATTATAATTCGATGTGCTATTTTTAAACTGAAATCATCCCATCGTTGTTCCCAAAGACTGTCTAGCTCTGAAATGCATATTGATAGTCGACTGCTTTTATTTTCTCTGTAAAATATGGGATACGTATTAATGTAATTGTATATCGTCAATTGATATTGAGCTTTGAAAGTCCTTCCTTCAAACATGATATTTCTTGCTTCGCTTGTTGTTTTTCTAACCAAAAAAGTAAATCCTAGTGTCAGAGCCGCAGACTGGCATGAAATCCGACCATTAATTTTCCAGTGTGCAGCGAAAATCCAGGTCTAAGCGGACGTTATCACACGGGCTTTTGGAGTGGCAAGCGGTGGTCCTGCTGCCGCATGTCGAGTCGCTCGGCCGAAGGCTGTGACACCTGCAGCTCCTGGTCCACAAGTAGCAAGCCATCGAGTGTCGCCAGCATCACCTCCGCGTCTAATACCACCGCTGTCACCACTACCACCACCACAACCACCACCTGCTCCGAGGCTAACAACAATCCTATCGTACAGGCGCGCTCTAATAACGGTGAGTGCTCTGCCACCTTCTCTTCTCTTTTTCGCCTTTGTCCTCGCCGCCACACTAACATCAGATTAATTCTTCGCCATATGTAATATACTTTTACAGCTGTGTAACGATACTATCGCTGTAATTACTTTTCAGTTAAAAAATTTAAATGCCACCCTGATAATATCTCAGCAGTTTTATATCTCCTTGTCGTTAATGAGGAAATTAATCTTTCCTTCAAGGTTTTTGCCTTTACAGAGCTCTCTTCCCTTTGCGTGTACCCGCTTGAAGTTTTGATTGCGACTTCAACTATATAAAGTTATCCCAGTAAATCATTGCGAATATCACAAGTTGCTCTCAATGTTTTACTGGAGCTGTTAAAAAAAGTATATAGTTGTTCAACAAAGCTATTTACCCTAATGACAATTCTATTTATCAATTAAACTTTCTCTTTTATTCACAAAAATAAATGACCGTTTTCATGAAATATATACATATATCACTTGGCTATTGGATTTTCCGTCTCTCGTACAATCATTTCAGTGCTAGATTCAAAAGCGATTCCTTCACGTGCCGACTTCGGGGCCCCTCGCTTACTATGCATTCCGTATCTAGAATCAGCGTCGGAATTGGCATCGTTCTTTATCCCACATGAAGTGCATACTGTCGACTGGAATCATGTCATTTTTTTGATATCTCCTTTTCTTTTATCTTGAAATTCTATCGCAGACTGACGATACTTTTGTGAAAGTGAATTTAATTCCTGCTTTTGAATCTTTATTTTTTCGAATGTCAATTTAATTACCGTACTATTCAGGATAATTTAATGGAATTTTATTTTATCAAAATTATGATATGCTTGTAAAACATTTTGTTTTTCACGATACACTTTCGTCAATTCCTCGTAGATTTATTATTTATAAATAAGTGAAAAATTTAATTTACAGAATTCTCTCGACTAGCTAATATAAATCGAAAGAAAAATTTAAAATTATTTCGAAACAATTTTGTAATTATATAACATAAACTCTCTGCTAATTATAAATTTTTATGTTGCGATAAATTCTCTTTATTCTCGGGTGTATCATAGTAGAAGCGCATTTTGTAACGAAAGGAATTGTTTATGCTACTATTTTGAAACAAGAATTCCTTTGAAATATTCTGAATCATTCTTTGGAAAGAATATTTTTCCATCTTTATTAATTACATCAAAGTATTATTTTCATTATGACATCGTTGTCGTTGTCAGTGATGTTGCTTGATAAAAAAATTCAATGGTTCTTCCAAACGTCTTTACCGATCGATAATTTCGCACGAAAATCCCAACTGTTTTTACGCTCGTCGAATATTATAACGGAAAAACCGAGAGTTGAGAGAGAGACAGGTTAAAAGCTCTTTGTGTTACAAAAGAGTCCATGCACTCTCAACCATGGGATCGTTAATCATGTTGAAAATCACGAATAAAAGAAGAATAAGAAAGAAAATCAAAACTACACATTACGTATACCATTGTCTCATATATCCGTTAAAGCTAAAGGTACAGTTAGCGTGACCGCAGCAAATGTACATGTGTGGGACGCCGGAATTAAAAAGCCTCGAGATTCACGAAGCGCGCACGATAAAGAAGAGAGAAAACAACACAAGCGCATGCAAGAGTGAGAAGAAGCTGCAGAACCAATGGCAGAGTTTAATACGCCAATGCAGGGAGAAAGGTAGCCGAAAATCCCGCTCTTGTTGCAAGAGACGAAAAATCAGCGAGTAATCAAGAGAGAGAGAAAGAGAGAGAGAGAGAGAGAGAGAGAGAGAGAGAGAGAGAGAGAGAGAGAGAGAGAGAGAGAGAGAGAGAAAGAGGGGATATAAGGAAACTCGCTCCACTTGCCAGCTCGACGCACGAAGAAAAAGATACACGTCCTCCTCCTTCTCCGTTGCCGCTCCGCTCTGTAAATTCAAAGTCTACTCCGTATGCGCGTGGTTTTTTCGCCAGTTTCTCTCTCGTCTGCGAATGTGATATGCAGTGGGCACATCATGAGCTCGCTACTCACGTCTTCCGTCAAGTGGACCCTCGGTATGAGGGATCGACTGCAACAGCAGCATCAACATCAACCCGTTGAAACTAAAATCTTCGGCTGCCGATGGATCTTCAGGAACTTTCCGCTCGTTTCTTCAGGTATATCAATACGAGATTGTGATTGTGTACGTGTTTATATGCGCGCGCAAGTGCACGCAGTAACAAATATGTACATCCAAGACGATATATATCTCTTCGTCGTTTTTCCATTATAAGAACAAGCCCTTCGTACGTACAATATCCTCGATTGTTGTGCATATATAAGCCGATTTTCCGCTGCTGCAAAGCGAGTAAGTTTTCAATAGACACACACATACACACAAGATGCACACATATACAGAGGCGAGTGAGAGATTGGAGTACAAGGGGCATAAATCACAAGTCCGCTACGTGTATTGAACTGACGTAAGGCTAAGAGCATACGATGATTATATAAGCAATTGATCGTGCGGCTTAATATATTATCGGCTACAATGCAGCATCTCGTCGTCAATGCACACACGCACACACGGACCACTGCACTGTAGCAGAGAGCGAGGATGAGTTATAGCCGCGCTGGGCGCTGACGCGGCGGCTCTTTAGGATCTCTGATGACCCCCACGTGACTCATAAAATCTGAAACAATGTAGCCCTGTGAACCGCGCGTGTAAAACGAGACGACGTCAACGAGGAAACGTGATTGTATCGCTCGTCACGCGATAAAAGGGGGTGTAACTTTAGTAAAATTTTGTCTCCTCCCTCACCCCCACACGCCTCCAATCATCCGCTACTACAGAACATACACCTGTTTTTAGAACAGTTGAGGGTTTAGATATTGTTAGGGAAAATTGAAAAAGTAAAACATATCGGAATCGATGAGATAGAAAAGTCTACGGATAGCAGTGTTCCGTTCTAATTAGCGAAGATAGAAATTCTAAGATCGGTGTATTTTCGTATCACGGTCTAATTAATCCATTGTATGTACAAGGTCGTATTAAGCTCTCGTAGCCGGCGTGTAATACTGCTGCTCTGTATATTTTTGAATTCAGCTACTACGTGCGAAATCTAGGATCTCTAACATTTTTGACCTAGTAAAAAGTTCAAGGCCAGGTCACGCGTGTATTTCTCTTTTACTTGTGTGGAAGTAAAGCAAGAAATAAAAAAATTCGATTGAGCGTTTAATTGATATTCAGCAACGCTTGCGCAATTAGTATTGTTAGTTTTTTTGTCTCGTCGTGTTCCACCACCAGTTCGGCGAAGTGCACAGACGAGTAACAATGCAGTAATTAATTGTATAAGATCTTCTATGATCCGTTTATTTAATTGATCTTACCGTGTCAAAAGATGCATCTTAATATCCCATTAATTCGTAAAACACACGCACACAAGCCGCGAGAAGATAAGTCCATTGACGAAATGGCCAGCAGGCAATAGCCGCAATAGCTTAAATCTTAAAGCAGCCAGCAACGCGTTACATAATCAATGTTCCATCTTATGCTCCGCTTCTACTACTGCTGGTGCTATGCGCTTGGAAAACTATAACGCGATCAAAGGAAATGGGATATAGCTCTCGCGCGTAAAAAAGGGGAAAGAAGAAGACGCAAGAGAGAAACTAGGAAAAGAGTTCCCTTGAGAGCAAAAGCTTAGTTGGTATACAACTCTTCATATAGCCTTTGACCGCACACGCGTGTAGTAGATATGTGTGTTGCTGAAATGGAAACGAAATTCGCGCTTTCGCGAAAAAGAGAAAAGGATCGAGGTCAATGCGACGGCTGAAGAAAGCACGAGCAAAAACTACTTTCGATGTGATACTACGTACTAGACAGACTTTGGCTATAAGCTCAAACGATATATGTGAGAGGCAGAAATAGTCTTGTGTATGTGTGTGCGCGCGCGAAGCACAAACATATTTTGTTAATGACACTCGTTAGTTCATTCACAACAATCCCTTGAATACATACTATAAATATAGGATACTAAACTCCAGTGTAAAAAATTGATCTGCGATAAAATATTGATAAAAATTTTCTGAAAGTTAATTTATTAATAAGCACATCCTTCGTTTGTAAAATGTGATGGCCATACTTGGTTTTGCAATTATCGTATAACAATGAATTGGCTACCGAGATTACGGCAAAATTACACCAGGTATGTGGTTATTATTACTCAGCAAATATGTCTGTGTTCTATTAATATACTTGTGAACAAACTTGGAAGATTTTTTTCTCTGTTCGACGGGACGTTTTTGGGACAAAATGGAAGAATTAGTCATTTTAATTTCAATTAGATAAAAATTTGTATAATTTTTGTGATATCAGAATTTGCAATTTTTATTGAAATTTCATCTACGCCTATTAAAGATTCAATTAAAATATATTAATCATGAGTTGACCATTAAATTATAATAACATCAATAATATTCTTATTTCCGTAAAACTAATTCCACCTCGAGCTTCTCTATTTGTGCGCGAGAAGACAAATTTAAATATTTATCACTAGTGTAGTTGATTATGTAGTGTAGTGTAGCGTGATTTATTTAATCTGTTATATAACAGTTAGTGAATATAACGATTATAAAAACATGTAGCTAAGACATAAACGGTTCGTGTTTGTTTCAGTAACTACTAAACCTTTTGATTTCTAATGTTTTGGTCAAAATACAATCTATATCTGTGTCTTTTATTGGTCACGCCATTTAAAAATCCTATTATCTTAAGAAATATTAAATCGAAATTCGGATAAATTACATATAGTTACCTTTATTTTCAAATGTTTTGTCATTGTCATTTTGTCGTTGTTGAACATTTGGTATTTACCAGAGTCGTTCACCATTCCTGAAGTAAACTTAAATGACTCAAATATTTACGTAAGTTTTAAACTGAATGAAAATAACGGAATATTAAAGGTAGTTTCCTGTAATTTTTTCCCCTTTCTCTCAATGATAAAGTCATACTTATTCCATGAGTCAGATTGACAAACTTGAATTTGATCTCTTTAATACTTTCACTTTGATGTTCTTTTACTTGTTATTTTCCTATAATATTTATCTCAATAAATATTTCAATATCTAACCTTATATTTTCACATTTATTAAGAGTTGCATTTATCACACCTGATATGACACCGTCAGTTAACGCTTCTAATTTACAGACGATGTGAATTTAAAGAACTCATCTATTATTTAAATATTCATATATGTTGACAGAAAAGACATGTTGATAAAAAGAATTATTGTCTGAGATTAAATATATACATATATTGACAGAAAAGAGTAATTATTTGAAATTAAGTATTTACATACGTTTATAAAAAAGAATCAGTAATTTCAACTTAATTTCAAAGTATAATAATTTAAACAGAAACATGTAATGTCATTTCAAATTCTAACATGATTCATGCCAGAACATTCGAGTATTTGCAATATTAGTGACGTCAGACGCGTGTCGCGGGTTCTTATCTTCTTTTTCATTCTTGTAATATTAATTAATATGTATATATATTATCACTTTTTTTTTTAAATGTGGATTTTTTATTTTTTTATAAAACACATATCACAGAAGAAAAAACGCATTAATAAAACATTTTTACGTATTCTAAATTCATGATTTATTATATCAAAAAATGTTGTAAATAATTTTTTAGTTCTTTTCAACAATACGAGTCAATTACTATTAAAAGTTTACTCTTAGAATCAACATTGCGTCATTACAATATTTATTTTAATCTTACACATTCAAATTTTACATTAACTATTAGTAATATAAAATGATCAGAATAATTTTAAAATATAACCTCATATTTTCATGAAATGATTTACTCGCTGCTAATCTCAAAGTGAGTGTTAAATCAATAATAGTGGAGCCTAATTTTTTATTTTATTTTCATTATCTTTATTATAACTCGTTTCATTTGTGATAAATTGAATTTGTATTACTAAAATCTCAACTCGAAACTATATATTCCGCCACATAACAGTATATCACGTAACCACATCTCAGTCAATCAGATCATGAATAAAATGTTTTAACATGGCACCCATCACTTTTTTATAAGGGAAGTAAGTATAACATAAATACCTAGTTGAGAACCGCCAAGAGCAATCGTAGCTACCATGAAAATCTTTAATTCGGTATGCATACTCAGTTTCTTAAAGAAATTGTTTTTTTATTCATACCACCATAAAAATTCTGTTTCTATAAATGTGTTTATAATTCTTATTATGCAATGATAAAACAAATACAGACATTTTTACATGATAATAACTAAAAATTAAACATAACTATAATAAATTACGATCAAATGCAAATATAATTATTGAATGGAAAACAATTTTCATTGTTCATTATCTCATTATTTCTACTGTTAGTAGAAAGAATAAGTTAATTGAAATCAAAATAATACGTTAACACTGTTTAATTATCTTTGATCTAACATTTCATAGTTGTTACTATATAACTGTTATATATGCTATACAAATTTAGTTTTTCCGTTACTACATTGTTATTTTTTCTGTTAGTCTTAACCGTCATTCACGTGTTAATACGTGTCCCACTCATTGTACTAGTTATGTAACATACTTGTTAAGTGTTTTTTTTTATGTAAAAGTGTGCTTGATAATTTAATAATTGAAAGTGACCGAAAAAAAATAGTATATTAAAAAGAAAAAATATTTGTTTGATAGAAAATTCTTTAAATTAATACTTGTTGTTAGTCCCGGTATGATGCCATATGCAAAAATGCAAAAGAAAATGACTCATAACAATTCAAAGAATCATAACTCATATGAAAGAAGAAGTTAGTTTTCCGATCAGAGATTAAAAATACGATAATCGTATCCTTGATTGATGACTTAACAAAACTGAAACTGTCTGAGATAGTTTGAGTGTTTACGTGAAATAAGTCTTACAATTTATCTTGTTTTGGCGTGCAAAAGATATTCGATTTTCATTATCATTTTACGTTGAAAAGTTTACTAAGTGAGCTAAGAGTCACGTAGAGGGCGTGCTACCAGGTGTTAATACAAATAACCGTAAAGCTGAAATAAAAGCTCAGTCATTGCGTACCATTAGATAAAAGTAGTTGAGTTGTGCGCGACTTCTTGATTTTCACCAATAGAACGTCATAATATTTAAAAAGTTGAAAATGTCCTGTTCAATTATTCAATTGTTATTTTGCTGTGCTTGTATCTTATTATTTGCCAACGGTCAAAGTTATAAAGAAAAGTACAGACTTCAAGTGCATTTTTCATTGCCAAAGGGTTGGGCTAACGATCCAAATGGCTTAATATACGTCGATGGATATTATCATTTATATTATCAAAATAATCCAGCAAGTACAATAGTTGGACCGGTGCATTGGGGCCATGCTAGATCTAAGGACCTAATGCATTGGGAAAATTTGCCAATTGCATTGAAACCAGATGGAAAAAAACAAATATTTAGTGGATGTTGCATTCTTGCAAAACGTAATTTGATTGGTTTGGCAGCAGATGTAGGTATAGCTAAAGACAAACAATCGAATATTTTATTGGCAATATACACTCATCACGATGACGTAGCTGAAACACAAGCAATGTCATATTCATTTGACAATGGTACAACATGGACTCAATATAGTGGCAATCCAATAATCAAGAATCCTGGAAGTCCGGATTTTCGCGATCCAAACATTATTGAGCGCAACGGCATATTCTATATGGCACTTGCTGTCAACGATCGCATTTCATTTTACTCGAGTACCAACTTGAAATCGTGGAAATATCTGAGCAGTTTTGGTATACAGCCCATCGAAGGCGACCACTCTGGTGTTTGGGAATGTCCTTCGATTATCTCACTGAAAGATGAGCAAGGCAAAAAACACGATATTTTGATTGTTTCTTTAAATCCATCATCAAGAGGCAGCGCTATGCAATATTTTGTTGGCGCATTTGACGGAGTCCAATTCAAAAGCTACGGAAAATCAGGAGTTTTATGGCTTGACAATGGATTTGACAACTATGCAGCTATTCCATATCACAATGATCCACACGATCGAGCCGTGATTATTGGGTGGATGTCAAATTGGATGTATGCAGCAAATATACCAACATCTACTTGGCGTGGTCAATTTACAATTCCACGGGAGTTATCACTCAAAACTGTTAACGGCGTACTTCATGTTTCTCAACGTCCAGTTGATGAACTAAACAAATTGATTGATCCATTAAGAACATGGTCATTAAGAAAACCGATAGATTTAGGCGGAAAACAAACAATTGATTTAACGCAACAAATTCCATTCAAAACTGGATCCTTGCTTAAAATGGAATATGTTCTCGATATCGGTTGTGCGAAGAGTGGAAAAGTTAGTCTTCAATTCGGCAATGATCTTGGCGAATTTGTATCGTTTAATTTCGATATTACAAAAGGAATCTACGAATTAGATCGTAGCAAATCCGGAAATGTTTCATTCCACCATCGCTTTGCAGAAACTGCTCGCGCTAATAGAATTAGTACCAGTAAGTTGCTTTCTGGACTAGTGATTTTGGACGTTGCATCGATCGAAATCTTAGCTGATGATGGTCTAAACTCATTTACTAATTTATTCTTCCCAAATAAGCCATTTGAAAACATCAAAATTATCAGTAATGTAGAGAACACTTCAAAGTGTATTAAAATTCAAAAGATAAATGTTGCAGTTCTTCGTAGCATTTGGAAATAGTCAGTTTCATTTTCCTAATCTTAAATATAATATTTTAAATAATTATATAATGTTTCCTCATTAACAACGACATTTACCTTAAATTGAAATTGTATGTTTTGATTTTTCCATTATAAGTAGAAACAATATATCAAATTTTATTATGTGTATTAATATTTAAGTTTTTCTGCAAATAAAGAAATAATAAAAAATTGATTGGCATATTAATTTTTCTTCACTTTTTCTCAAAATATTATCTGAATTTCTCAATTTCTTTTTTTTCGATTTTTGAATTATACATTGCTTGTCTACAAAATATTAGTTTAAATTGTGTATAAATCGTTATATAAATATTTCTGTTTATATTACTTAGTATATCAATTATTTATTAACTTTTATATTTTCAAAAAGCGAAGATGCAAAAATATTAATATATTTTTGTAGCAATCATAAAATTAGGGTAAGTATACCACTTCTGGCTCAATACGGCGGGATCATTTCTGACAAGCGTTGTAAGAGAATTCAACACATTTCATGCTCATTGTATGAACAGATCAAAATAGGACAATGCAATTTATTTTTTCCATGAGATTATAATAATGTATTTGTTTATGTATATCAATATTTAATGACAACACAACCCCACAAAAAAAAAATTTCTGTGCATGGAACCAGACCGCCATATCCTTATGTTTTCGCAATCGCCGAATCCGATGTCTGTTTGTCTCGATTAGCTCAGGTTCAAGGTCATCTTAAGATCAAATCCTGGAAAAATAGTCAAGTCAATTCAAATCACTATTACTATGTTTTTAGACTTGTTAATTATAAATCTGATATCGGTTTGATCCGACAAGATCAAATTCAAGGTCATTTCAAGGTTCAATATGTTTATTCTACAAAAAATGAATTTTTAATTGCAAATCCTGAAAGAACGGTAAATTTTACGTCCAGCTATGTATTTTATTATTTTTTATCATGATCCTCAAGGTTATTTGAAGGACGCTTTATGTTTTTGTACAGATGATTTATATGTCAATTGCAAAAAGACGAAAATATTTCTTCATGGGACTAGACTAATATATCTCTATGTTTCTGAGGTCACTGAATCCGAATCCGAGGTTAATTTTTCTCCATTAGGTCAAGACCAAGGTCAAGTCAGATCAAATTGAGACCATCTCATGAATGTGTACAAATAGGGTTAATTCTTTGTTTTTGAGGTCGCTGAGTCCAAATCCGAAGTCCACTTTATTTAATTTTTTTTAATAAATTATAGTTGACATATCATCTATATAATCATCTATAATCAGATATAATCATCTATATAAAAACATAAATCACCCTTCATATAACCTTGAGGGTCATAATAAAAAAAGCTAAAATACATATCTAGACGTGAAATTTCAAAAATTCATTTTTGGCTTAATAAACATATTCGACCTTGAAATTACCTTGAATTTGATCTTGTAGAATCAAACGGATATCAGATTTGTATTCAGCGACCCTAAAAACATATAGTAATAGTAATCGACTTGACTATTTTTCCAGAATTTGATCTTGAAATGACTTGAATTTGACATGATCGTGACAAACGGACACCGGATTCAGATTTAGCGATTTCAAAAACATAAGGATAAGGTGGTCTGGTTCTGTGCACAGAAAATTTTTAGTTTGTGGAGCTATGTGATTATTTGAATTTTTATAATAAGTAAGTTTATAAAGAAATTATTTATTTCAGCCAATATTTCGAATCTTAAATATTACATTAAGTAGCATCATTAGTGTTTTCCATTTTGTTTGAAAGAGATAGCATATTTATTATATAATGTCATAAGAAATTTCGTTTTGATAAATTACATAATTTTTTGCAAACTTAAACAATCATATAGTGCAACATATAAAGATTACTATATAATGATGCATAAAATCAAAAGATAAAATATTATGATAATATGCAAGTTTAAAAATGTTTTACAATTTATATATCAAACAAATACACCTCATAAGTAAAAATTCGTATTATTTCTAAATTAATGTTACATTAACGAATTACATTAATAAGATTTAATTTTTAACTGATAATGTATCCAATAATAAGAATTTGATTCTTATCATCCCCTAACAAAAAAAAAGAATTTGGATAGTATCTTTCAGGACCTTAGTTTTTTCTATTTTATAATTTTTAGCGTAGAATTCATAGGACATGTACTCAGACCCTAATTTATGTACCTCCGACTGTTAGTGCTGGTATATGCTTCTGGTACACGGCTCTTTTGGTCGATGATATTATTATTTTTTATATTTTTAAAACTTCTCGGTAAATTAGTTTGATGAGAAAATCTGGGAGTCCTTACATACTATATACTGTACAGTTCCTTGCTATATATTTCTTTACTGTAGCAAAATATAGTGATTTCAATTAGAAAGAATGATGGAAAATTATATGCGTCAGGTAGAAATTCATCAATGTGAAAAATGAGAAAATTTCTGCTATGTGCCCAAGCAACCTACATCTATATAGAAGCATTTGGAACAGAAACTATATTGAGTTTATCGATTTTTAAGAGTCTCATTCTGTATTGAATCGCATCCGATCGAGTGGGAAAATTTGCTTTTAACGTCACAAGTTTTCGTCAAAAATCCAACTAACAGTTCGAATTACTCTAGAGAACTTTGCTAAAATAAATTTTATACGAAAGGCTGTAACCATCATTCAAAGGAATAAATGCTACGCCTTTTCTTTAATTGCAAGGTAAAATAATTGGCCATGCGAGGGGATATTGCTTCCAAGAATGAAACACAGCGCGCACGTCGTCGTAAAAGTCTTTCGCGCCGCGGGTACACGACAATGTTTATGCATTGCACCCGAATGAAATAAGCCCCCGGTGCGACATATTACAAGCTTCAAAGTTATACGACTCATTTCTCGGCACGCTCCAAAGTGTTGGCTTAAAAAGCCTCATCATTCTTTCGAAGTAATATATAATATCTCCGTTTTCTGGCGTTGCACCGCCGTCGCCGCCGCTGCCTTACCCATCTATCTCTGTCCGACTCTCTCTCACTCTCGATTACTTCGTCAGCAGCGGTGGCACATCTCCGGTTTTACTTTAGCCTCTGCACTTCCATGTCGTTCGACGTTGCGGTTTCTGAGCTTGCAAGCGAGTCATGGCTATATACGTACCACACTTGCTCTCGCCTCTAATTTCGCGCTTGTTGTGCAACGTTCCAACGCTCTGGTGCCTCGTACGGATTGCGCGACTCAGTGAAGGAAAACTGGTGCTCGCTCTCCCCGACAACAATTGCTTTTGTAGATGTACAATCATTCTGCGTGTTGTTTGTTTGTCATGCAAATAAAAATTGACAATTATCAGATTTTCGCGAAATTCATACAATATCGTTCAGATTAATTCGAGAAACATTGGAAGCTTTTAAGTCGGCGCACGCTATATGTTCATGTGTTTATTCGATTTGCTGACAACATAATTTAACGAAGTAATGCAAATTTTCTCGTGTTCGTAACGCACACATCAATGCACTTGCCCGATTATCGCACGAGTAAATATCGAGGCTACTATATTTTTAATCAATTCGAATAAAAGACGCTGTGTGATAAAATCGCAGGATATTAATTGCTCGAAATCACACCTAGAGTATCACGTAAGATGAAAGTCACACAGAATACGAACATTAAACAGAGCACACACCGTAAAAGTCGATATCGAAAAGGAAAGTAATTTTGGAAGTAGTTTTTTGAGAATGCACATAACATAATGACGTACGTGTCTCGCTTTCGAGCAATGGTTACTCTTTGCGCCGGCAGCAAACGTACAAGTGGCCCTTTTTTATGAAGTTTACTTAGTATTTTTATGAAAAATTAGATCATTGTTGAAAGATTTACAAACTGCACTGCAATTCCCACTCGCTTAGACACGCAAACTAACGCGCACGGCTTTAATTTCAGCTGAATGATAGACATTTACAGAATTACATTCTTCATATTAAATGCAATTGCGGTCCAGCGCGCATATAAATTAAGTAAAATGAAAAGCATGTATGCCAAACCAATTCGCGCTGGAAATGGCCGTCTACACGCGTACGGTCTCGTGGGTTTCATGTTAATTTGAAGCGTCAAAATGGTCGCAACTTTGACCAACATGATCATAGCACGAGCCAGCAGGCAAAGTCGTTTGGTCCACCTCTTGCGAGAGGAGGTACAGGGACTCGAGCAAGAATATTTACCGAGCTCGCTAAAATTGCTAGCTGTCAGGCGTGCGAGTTTAACAAGCGCGCGTGCCGGGCAAAAATCCAATCTTACCGGCTGGTAGCGCAAATATTTGTCGTTTAAAACGAAACGAAACTCGTTGGCCGTTCGCCTTTCGGCACAACTCGCCTGCCGCGAACCCTTACGTAGTCGCCGATGATCCGTGAAAGTCACTTCTGTGGACGTTTTCTGTTTTTTCTTTCTGTTTTCGTTCACCGAAAAATCCGCCCTTTCCAAGCCGCCGCGATCCTCGTTTTATTTTCACGCTTAGCAACAACGCGCGCGAAATTGTTTTGCCAGCTAAGAAAAATACACCGGAAATACCTCGTGCGCGTCGTTTTCGTGGTGAGCTCGGCTACACATGCGAATATATATTCATGAAGTTTAATCGCGACGGAATGCGGCGAATAACCGTCGCCGATAACTCGCCGGCGGGCTCTCCTGTAAAAATTGATAAAAGCACGCACATAAGGCCCGTTAAGTCAACTTGACGCCCGCTGCGCTGCAAAGAGAGTAAGTGAGTCCCTCGTGAGCTCGGGGCATTACATCAGCGCTAAACTCACGCGACTTTCTTAGACTGCAGTACGCGGAAACGCTTTGAAGTGTATGCACACGAGGCAATGCGTAACGGCATCTATGCGGACGCAGGGCTAGTGCCAAGGCACAACTGCTATATGTTTTTATGGCTGTGCAAGCAAACATAACTAATAAATCACGATGCTTGTACATCACGCCATGCGATAAAGCTGTGCAATGGTTCTCTATAGCATACAGCCGATAAGCGATATATGTTTCGGACCAACTGCAGGGGGTCCACGCGGTGACGCATGCGCAGATGTAAGTGTGTTTCAGACCACCTGTGGGAGGTCTACTACGGCAGTCGGGAGACTCTCCTGGCCCACGTGGTCTCTCCCCCTGACCAACAAGATCGGCGTCTTCCTTTAATAAAATTATTAT